GAGCTCCACGCGTGAGGGTCCGCAGCCGCCACGGCTGCAGCGAGAGGCGCCAGACCGTGCGCACCCAGGGTGTTTAACAGGGACAAATCCCCACGGGCAAGTGAGGCCTCTGCGGTTAGGGATTAGGGAGTGAAGGCTCTCGGATGATGAGGTGCCTGGGTCAAGTGAAAAACGGTCAACTGTACCGCTTCCAGTAGGATTTTGAAGCTTTCGATGTGGGAAGTGCCTCTAAAGGCTGTGATGTGATAATAGTCACTTCACCTTCCCTGGCCCCAGTAGATATTGAATATTTGCCTGCCAGTGTATCAGTGCAAAAAGTAATTCTACCCTCAATGAATTTCAATGTATTCAGGGGAATTATTTGTGAGGTATTTTTATTTGTAAGGGGGCTTGGACCCATTATTTTTAAGTCTGGTTTTTTTGTATCTATCACAGAATCATAGAATGGTTAAGAGTTGGCAGGGACCTTAAAGCTCATCCAGTTCAACCCCCTGCCATGGGCAGGGACACCTCCCACCAGAGCAGGTTGCCCAAAGCCCTGTCTAACCTGGCCTTGAACACTTCCAGGGAGGGGACATCCTCAACTTCTCTGGGTAACCTGTGCCATCGGGTACTGGAAGGCTGCAGTAACGTTTCCCTGGAGCCTTCATAGGGGAGGTGCTTCAGCCCTCTGATCAGCTTTGTGGCCCTCCTCTGGACCCACTCCAGCAGCTCAATGTCCTTTTTGTGTTGGGGGCCCCAGAACTGGACATAGTACTCCAGGTGAGGTCTTACCAGAGCAGAGTAGAGGAGCAGAATCACCTCTCTCTGTCTGCTGTCCACAGCTCTTTTGATGCAGCCCAGGATATAACCCCAGGCCTTCTGGGCTGCAAGTGCACATTGCCAGCTCATGTTACTTGTTTCATGTAGTAATATTTTTTTTAATGATGGAGGCAGGAGATGTGGAAAACAGGACCAGTGTGCTCCCAATATCCACTTGCCTAAATAACTTTCAAATTTGTCAGTCAGTTTTAAGCAGGCTCCACAGCAGCATGTCTCACAATTAAGTGTTCTATAAGCAACAGTTTGGTACGGGGGGAAAAAAGCACAGTCTAAATTATTCTCATGTTGGGAAAGAGGCTCAAGTAGGAGCACAGTGGCTGGAAACTGGTTTTAGTCACCTGTTGGACCATCAGTATATTTAGAGCAGGGAAGCAAGCCCTTGTCTACTTAAGCAAGCGACTGTGTCTGTAAAGGGAAACATTTGGTTCTGACTATCCAGTGTGCACACAGTTTATGGTTTTGGGGGACTAACTGTGGCCTGATTTTATGGACTGAATTCTTGTTAGGACCACATCTTTCGATTTAGTGTGATTCATAATAGATCCAGGGTGTGCACCTTGCTCTCATAAAGCAACCCAAAGCACAGTAGGTGAGGCTCCTGATCTGAGCTTAGGCATTAATTTAAGTACACCAGCCTCTATTGAGGAATATGGGAAGGGCAGGAGGTTTGGGGAGCTCTGGAGCAAAAGGAGCTGGATGTATTGCTGTTGTTAGGAAGAATATTTGGGGATGTCAAGAAGGAAACAGGAGGTGAGGTTACTGTGGTATAGTGGCATGGATGAGGCCAATATGCAGAAAGAATACACATCTCTTTAGTCAATGAGGCTTCAGTAAATTTGTTTTCCCCTCCTCAAGGAAGTGCCATTCAAGTTTTCATGCGATCACTTGGTGCAAAATTAATTAATCAATTATCTGATTTTTTTTAAAGGCATAATAATATACCCAAATACAGATACCTTTCTTTGTGCTATTTGTCTAAACTCCCTTTAATGGAGAGCAACATGCACTTCTAAAGCATTTTCAATGTGTTCTAAAATAGATAAAAGATGAGACAAATCCACTCTGGTTTCCAGTGTCATGGGTAAAGGTCTAAAGCTTTATTAATGGATCATTTTAATTTTGTTTTTGAAGTAGGCTGTCTGCTGTGTGATGTTGACAGTAGTTCATAAATCACTTGCTAATCTATTCAGAGGATGTTTTTCAAGTTTAAATTTTGTCTTGAAATATAAATTGCTTGGCCTGTGGAAAATGCCTGAGATTTATCAAAATCTTAGTTCACTCATGGCCTACAAGTTATTGGCAATTGCATATCTTTGACATTTGATTCTTTTGAGCTTTTAAGTATTTTATGTTATGCAAGGGACATTCGAATGAATCCATTTTATAGGCTCTTAATTAGTCAGTGGTGGTATTTTAGGAAGTGACAGGATGGGTTCTGATGCCTAAAATTAATTGGAACAGAATTGAGCTCATCATGATTTGAGACTGCTTAGGTAAATGAGAGGAGTAACTTGGGTTTATGTGGAAATGTCAGTTTGATGGTGTTTAATTGAAGCTGTATAATCCTGCTGACAGGGGAGAAGAGCACCCAGTTTCCATTTGATTCCTTGAAAGTCTAATGTTGATTAATAGCTTACTCAAAGCAGGAAATGGATGAGCTGCACATGGCAAATTTAGTCTGCTGTGTGAAACTAGACATCCTGAATTTAGTTCAAATGGATCACCCATTGAGAAAGTCAGTTAAACTTTCTAGCCTGTGCTGGTCTATAACGCTGTAAGAGCTTTAGGATCTCAGAAGATCTTTATTTACCATTCTTTCCCCTTTTTAAACAGGCACTACTTTGCACTGCCCACTAATCCCGGTGAGCAATTCTTTATGTTTTGCACGCTTGCCGCTTGGCTGATCACTAAAGCAGGACATCCCTTCGAACAGCCACAAGAATATGATGACCCCAATGCAACAATATCAAATGTACTCTCAGAATTGCGATCATTTGTAAGTGTTGAACATGCTGTTTTCCCAAGTGTATTTCAAGCACATGCATCGCCTTCAGAAGTAACAGTAATGCCACACTTTTCCTCCTGTCTGATTATGTTCCCAAGGGCTAGACAGACTTTTCCTGTCTATGAGTTTGTACTGTGTTAATGGGTTAATTGGAATTTTATACTGTCTGTACCTACTTGCTAATTATTTTGGCACTACAAAAATGGTCTTACAGTATTATGCATAGTTTTGTTCCACAATCTGTAAAATTGATTAAATCAGGCTTACTTCTTATAGTGCCACATATGTTGCTCCTTTATGGTAGTATAATGTACAAATATTTTATCTGGAAAATTTGCATAGTGCTTGTGATTCTGCTTCTGCCAAAATCAATGGTATAATTCACAGTGAAGGAAATGTTTTAGAATTGTGTTCATGTTTTGTTCATTTGGTTTTGTTGAGTAGTAAAAGTTTGCCAGAACTATTGTGATTTTTTTCAATATTAGCACACACCCTCAGAGATCAGGAGGGTGTATCAACTTACGGGAATTATGATCTTATGGAAGATTATACTGTGGTACAGCTGTGACTGATGTTAAGAATGCTGTTCTCTAAAGGAGTTAAACCATAACAAACTAAGATGTTTATTCTGCAAGACAGCAATAAATAAAAATAAAATATTTTATAAATAAAATCTTTAACAAACAAGACAATGTTGAAAAGCTGGTGGTTAAGTCTCAGTGGCCAGGTTCCTCCGTAGCTGTTCTTACCTTTCCAACCTGTCACTTGTGTGCTTGACCATCTAGCTCCCTTGTGGCTTCTGACTCTTCTGCTCCCTGTGCGTATCGTCTCGCCAGGTGCTTTAAGGTTTCTGCCCTGCATCTGTTTCTTGGGTTGTTCTGTTTTCCCTTCTGTTGCCTGACTGGAGCTGCATAGCGGAAGAATATGAATTAATATTGATAAAACCTTCATACTCAATGGACACTGGTAAAAACTCTTGTTACCTCCCTGAAAGGAAACTCCAGTTGATGGGTAGCCATCAGTAAACAGCATATCTCTTATTTTAGGGAAGGCCTGTGGATTTTCCTCCCTCAAAATTAAAGGCAGGTTATGGAGAGCAAGCATGCTATGTTCTTGATTGTTTAGCTGAAGAAGCCTTGAAATACACTGGCTTTAGCTGGAAAAGGTATAGTACACTTTTAAGCATCCTCCCTTACACATTATTTTCCAGCAGACAAATGTAATTGTAAAGACAAAACAGTAATGACCAAAACTGTTTTACTTGATGTTTCATGAGCTGCAAAATTAAACTAGGCTTGAAGCAGTGGGACCAAGTAATTCCTAATGCAATTTCACACAATTTAGTCTGTTACCAGCAAAGATGAGTTTGGGCCATTAATAGACTTAGCTAATTAATAAAGATTTGACAGATGACCTTTTTTTTTTTTGGACACTTTCCTATGCATAGCTGCTTGTTAATCTGACAGTTGAGCTGAAATGTATTTAATATCCTTTTAGGTCCTATCAATCAATAGCTAAGTTCTTGATCTCTTCAGCTGGAGGTGTGCACAATATGTGATCATGTTACAAGCAGGCTACAGTAACTTTGAGTATTTAATCCAAAGGAAATCTTAGGAGATATTAGATAACAGATAATTTCACGTCTATGAAAATTTATTTAAAACTGTTCTTTCTTTCATTCCTTCCCGTGGGTGGGTTTTGAAATGGGCAGGGCAAAGTAATTTATCTCTTGGAAATATTTTGCCGTTACCTCTGTTTAGTACGCAAATTCCTCTATAAGCTGCAAATACGTCTGTGGTGACTTGCACTTGGATTTTAAGACATTAGACCAAAAGAGAAAGCAAATAAAAATTTACTCCCCACATGTCTTTGTAGTATGAATGTACTGTGCTTCTTGCCATAATAACTAACCCTCACTTTTAAAACAGTGCAAGATAAAGACTTAGTGATAATTTTATTTGTTTAAATGTGTCAGACACTAATCACTCTCTAGTCATATTCCACATCATCCATACTTTTCATGAAATGTTTTGTTTGCTTAGGAGCAGTTTACAGAGGTATTTCCAATTTACTGTGTTTAAAAGCCCTGCTGTTCTTTGAACTAATTTCAGGCCAGCATATCCAACAGAAGAGCTAGAAGAAGAAGAAATAACAGAAGATGATGCAGAATTAACACTTAATAAACTGGAAGAGGATGTTGCGGTAGGTTTACCTGATTATATCAGTACTGGTCAACTGTAAGGAAATTTTTACTCACTGATCACCTTGTTTGGCTTTAAGAAGTCTTTTCTATCAGCTATTCGATCACCTTTTTTTCTTGCATCTCCTTTCCTGCATCTTCAACTTCTCTGTACAGTCTTTGTTTCCTTTCGGATAAGGTTGTTAAGTCTTCAGGACAGAGCTTATTTTCCCATGTGCATTTATAGTTAATGTGAAGTGGAAACTAACCATACATTAAAATTACATAGATTCAGAATTGTTTATTTATAAGAGCTATTGATGTTAAATGACACTTCAATCCCTGTTTACAGAATTGGTTAATATTTGGTTAAAATTTACCCAGTGTTTAATTAATGAAGTGCTCACTATTGTAACTCAGATTTCACTGCGAATAGGAAATTATAACTTTGGTACTTAGTTGATCTGAAGATTTGGGAACAGGGTAAAGAAAAAATGGAAGCAGAGCATTTGTTTATAAACACCAGCAAGGACCTCAATAAAGGTTGCAGAGTTGTTTCTGTAGACAAAGGTGGTGGCAACTCATATATTGCATGAACGAAATGGTAATATCCCGTCATCCATTCTGACTGCAGACTGAGTCTTTCTGTATGTTTTGAAATACCTTTAGCCAACACGATAGCAATGTTTGAGGATCAGCTGTTCTGTTTATTCCTGCTTTTTTACTATAATAATTACAGTGAAGTTGTCATGTCTTTGAAACAGCCTATGAAATACACCTGTAAGTTTAAATATGCTTTTAGGACATACTGATGGATGGATGTTGAACAAAAGTTGTTTCTTGCTGATTGACTTTCTCAGAAGATTCTTTTTATGCGAGTTGGAGTCTTACTGTAAACTGGTAGCATAATGGGATCTCAAGACATTGCCATTTTCACTTGCCTCTCTCAATCTCCTCAAAGTGAGTCTTTTTACTACTGACTTAAACAGGACATTTCTGAAAGAGGGAAGTTAGCTGATGACAATTAAAGTGAACATTACAAAAAGGAAGTTAATTTCACATCCAGCTTCTCCAAAAGCCGATGATTATTTGCAAAATAAATGCAGATCAAAGCCAGAATTTTGAAAGCTCTGAGCCTGGAAGTGCTCACTTTCTGAGTCAGTAAATTACTTGAGGAGAAAACAATTTTCTGGAGTCTTAAGGCCCAGCAATACTAAATAGAAAATGCCACAACTGTCCCATTTTCGTGTTCATATTTTTCGGGTGCTTGGGAAAAAGGTCATAAAAGTTGGCAATAGAGTGCCAATAATGTTACCATATGGTTCTGATTGTAGTCCCAATTTATATGCCACAATAGTCCGCAAGAATGTAACAGTTGAAGAGTTTGCTTCTCCTCACAGTTTTCTTGTGTTGCATTATTTTTGTCATTTTTATTAGCAAAAAAAAAAAATCTAAACTTTTATTCTTAAATTTCATACAGTATGCGAAGAGTGGGATGTGGATGTTGATGTTGATGTCTGGTTTTATTTTTATCAGCTTTGAAGTCCACACACACACACAAAAAAAGGTCTTGAATAATTCTGACAACAATAAGAGACATTCTGTATTGCGTGCTTGACTCGCCTCAGAAATGTAAGCTTTTTGCTAAAAGCTTTAAAAATGAAAATAGTCAGCTGTCTGCTCCCCTCTGTGTCTTGTTATGATCTAAGCTGTTTAAATTGGGAAGTGGGGAGGGAAGAGTTAACTAAAGCACAGTTGTAACTCTTCAAAGAACTCCTGGATTTGCTCTCAGCTAGTATCTGAGGCCATGATTTTCAAAACTAACATGTTCTGTTAGCTCTTCTGAGTTGGTGTGTTAGTAAAACCACAGAGCTAACTTTATTCAAGGTGGATAACCACTTTTTGGAGCCCCTGATGATTCCACATGGATTAATCATATGCTGATATAATTATTTTTTTTCCCCTAGTCCATTGTTGCTGCCAATGTATTCGTATGTCCTGGATGTATTAGCTGTATCTATAATTTAATTTAGCAGTATTTCCAGTAGTTAAATGCTAATTATGAGGTTCATTGATTGTTCTTCTGGTTTTGATTCTTCTGAATAAAACTGATGAATCTGACAGAGACAAGCCTATTTGTGTAAATCTTGTGGAATTAGCAAACAGTAGCCAGCAGGGCTGGCTGTTCGAGGAAATCTGCACAGTTTGGCTTCTCAGTTCTGATAACTAGTCTTCTTGATGTTGTTATCGTAGTGTTGTAATACGTTCTTCTAAGTGTGTCTTAACGGACACAAACTGGAACACAGGAGGTTCCACTTAAATTTGAGAAGAAACTTCTTCTCAGTGAGGGTAACAGAGCACTGGACCAGGCTGCCCAGAGAGGTTGTGGAGTCTCCTTCTCTGGAGACATTCAAAACCCGCCTGGATGCCTTCCTGTGCAACCTCATCTAGGTGTTCCTGCTCCGGCAGGGGGATTGGACTAGATGATCTTTTGAGGTCCCTTCCAATCCCTAAAGTTCTGTGATTCTGTGAAGTGCTGCACAAATATATATTGTCCATTTAGCAAAGGATAGTCCCAATCGAGTCACCTTTAATTTGCAGGTATTCAGGGCAGTAGGGGCCAAACACGCCAGAAGAAAATAAACTGGTCACCATTAGTTGAAAACTAGATGAGGGAGAGGAAAAAGCTCCCAGGTTTTCACTAATTGAATCTTGAAGGGTTCTACACTAAGATCTGCATTATTACAGCATTTTTGATTTGTCTAGAAAGAAAGCGAGTGATGAAATTCGACTTTGGTGGAAAAGACAGCTAACAGAACTATAGATGGACAAAGTGTATAAGAGTGAAGTGTAGGGGTGATAAAGTTGAAGGTGAAATTCAGTATAGATAAATGGAGGGTAATGCACAGAAAAAAGCATCTTTGACTTTACTTATGTAGTGATGGGCTCTGAGCTGATAAAAGTCACTGAGGAATGCAATTTTGAGACTATAATAGGTAATTCTGTAAAGCCATCGGCCCAGTGCAGTGTCATGGGCAAGAAAACAAATCAGTCACCTTGATTTATTGTATTATTCTGCAGACTTTTAAAATGTGGCATCACTCTGCAACTCCAAATCTGTAATGCAAACGACGTGTTGAAAACTATGTTCATGTCTGGTTGTGGTTTGTTTGTTTTGGTTTGGTTTGGTTTGGTTTAGCTTTAGTTTTAATATAAAGCTTTAGGAAACACTTAAGAAATTACAGTTACCATGCAACTATTGATAATGGCTCATTTGTTATGAGAAGGCTTGGGCTTTGAGACTTTTTGGTTGGTTGGTTTAGTTTTTAAATACTGTGACACCCTGAGGGAAATGTGGTGAGTTTTCATCTTCCACCTTGTCCCAGATACTGTGTCTCCTCATAAGATTTTTAGTAAAAACAAACTCCATGATTATAAATTCTCCATTATTTGTTTTGCTCAGAAATTTGGAATTCAGTATTCCTTGTCCTGTGCTATGGCCAAATAAAATTCTGGTGGAAAATTGTGCAGTACTTACTGAAGTCTTACTTTGCAACTTTCCTTAAGGAAGAAGAGTCAGACAATGAAGAAAATTTTCTTGACCTGGATGTTCTAAAGGCACAAACATACAGATCAGTAAGTTGTTACCCATCAATCTTCTGACAGATTTTTACATCTGTAGTAGCCATTTATTTCTGTTGGATTTAAGTCTGAAAATCCTTATGTAGTCTTAACTTGAAAAAAACATTCTAACTGAAACGAATTAGGTTATCTTAAAAGAAAAATTTATATCCAGTTTCTAAACTGATATCACTGCAAAGTTGCTGGAAACATTTGTAAGAAAAGTTTGCAGATACTTTTAGAGAAACATCGTATGACTTTCTTGAATATATTTTAATACCTCCCTTACACATGCACTATTTCTGGAATGCATTATAATTTCTTATTGTATACATTTCATTTTTTCAAATTCTAACTATGATGATAAGATTATTTATTTTAATTCCTAATCTTTATGAATTCAAAGAAAACCATTAAAGAAATCTGTCATACCTGTAGTTTAGATAATTCTGGATGTAAGTATTTTGTCTGAATATGAACACTGTAAGCCATTGTCACATGATTTCTGACAGTCCTCATTGTGCACAATGATCATATTTTGTATATAAATTTTGTGATTTTTACTCAGAACGTGAACGACACTACAAAGCAAGAAGAGATTTTACAGTCCACCACAGATGTAGCAGAGTGGAATCTAGAAGTGGAACGCGTGCTTCCACAGCTGAAAGTTACGGTTAGGACTGACAATAAGGTATGTGAGAATGGATTTGCATGTGTATACATGGTGATTAAAGTGTGATTTCAATCAGTGTTGTTTACATTCCATTTACATTTTTTAACTTTTGTCATACCAAGAATTGTGAAAAATGGGCTCTCCAATGCTATCTTGTCTAAAACTTTTGTCACTGACTTTGACCTTAGAAGCAATAATATTTAGTAGGTTTTTTTTCTCTCAGTATTCTATAAGAATAATTTTTTTCTGCTACTTACAGGGCACCTCATTTCCATATATTTATTTTCATATGTTTATACAGTGGAAGCTTCTTAAATCGTTAAACATTTCCAATGTATTCACACTTCTGAAAAATTATACTCCCAGTTCAGCAGATATTAAAACATCTTCCTGGGAGACAAGAAGAAGAACCGTTCAGTTTGTCAGCCATCTGAAAGTTGATTCCATGGAATTCATCATGCTGAACTTTAAATGGCCATGAAGTAGGTCTGTACCTCTGATCTAGTCTTCATGGACTCTTCTTATGCTTAGCAAAACAAAGTGAGTCCTTTTATTGACTGATTTTACTTACCTATCTGGATAATTACCTCAAAATTAAATTCCTCATTTCTTGGAAATGTGTATTTCTCTCCATAATCTATTCCAAGTAGTCTAGAATGAGCAGCTTAGAAGCAGACATCTATCTTTGGCAAGTCAAAGTCCAAACTTAGCACCTATTCATGGCATTGCCGTAAGCATTCTTTCTAGGAGCTTGCCTAGCACACACAGATCACTGCAGTATTGAAGTTGCGCATTTGTAGTGACCTGGCTAGTTGGGATGTTGGAGCAATCTGTAGCACTGATACATAATTTGATGAAAGATAATGATCTTGCAAAAAATAGGCTGGGCTCTCAACTATCTGTTAAATTGCTTGCCTGACGTACACTACACTGCATTCTTCTATGTGAAAAATTGCCTGGTTTGAGCCACCTTTCTCTGATCCTCAGCAAGCCCATCTGCTACAGAGAACATCATGCTTGATTCTCACACTAAGAAATGAAAACATCATTAAGACATACATGGAAAATTAAAACCACTGTAAGAACTGAGGTTTACTAGCTTCCAGTTTAATACACCATCTCTTGGATTTAAGGAGTAAGTTAAAATGAACATGAAGAGAGGATTCTTCTTTTTCTAGCTTCTGTGCTATCATGCTTTCAGAAATAACTGGAGAGAAATATTTGGCCTTTTTTCATTCTACAAGAAAAGCACCATATTCTGTTTCCTAAGCTGTGCATAGGCACAGCCTATGTGCATAAATGGCATTAGAAACTAGAACTTATCTGTAAAGTCCTGGGCAGGGGTGGGAGGTGTGTGTGTGGGGGTGTTTGTTGTTGTTTTTATTTCAGCTCCGAAGTTTGGCAAATTGGGAACAGTTGTCACCAGACCAACAAAACATCTTGTGTTCTGCAAACTTAAAACCTGACTTACAACATAAGCACATTTTCTGTACTAGCATTTATTCTGTTCTGACAGAGGATAGTGGGGAGCAGTGCAATTGTAGATGGCGGTAGAACCTCATGGGTTGAACAGCTGTTGGAGATGCTGTTCTGAGGTAGTGAGACAGAAGCAGCAGTCCTTTGGTAGATATGTGCATGTCCTATGCAGGGTGATAGCCTCACTTCAAGTCAGTGGAACTGCCCGTGATTGAAGGATGGCACATGTTTAAGCGTGCAGCAGTTTTAAGCCACGACCTGTTTTGTACCTGTGTGTTATAAGTGACTGTATCCTCCAACAGCTCTGGGATCAGGAATTTCTCTTGCTCAGGTGCTGCAGCCCAGCCCTGTGTGCCTGGGGACCTGCAAGTTCCCATGTCAGACTGATGGATGCAGCTGCTACTTCTTTCCTGTTTGCAGATTTAACGAGTGGGGAAGTTAAGCGTGCATCATGCAGGCACACAAAGGACACTGACATAAACAAAGCCCTGTCTTCAACAGCACTTTGTAAGACTTCCATAAAACATAATTATAGATAGCCAGCCTCCCATCCTCCCCTTCAGCTATTTAAGATTGAAGTTTACCAGTAGAAGCACACTCTCCCTTCTCTCTAGATGCACAAGCACATGCACATTCACTTATCCCTCAACTGTTGGCATGGTCTTTCTGTCTGTCTAATCCCCCTGCTGGATCCCGGACTCTCTTACTGTTTCTCCACTCTTCTACTTGCTGGCTAGTCTAGCCTGATGCTTGCCAGCTAACAGACACATGCGCTCACATACTCCTCTCAAGTGCACTCTACATTTGTGGGTTCCCCTGAATACCAGCATATGCCTTCTGCCTGCCTCATACCCAGGCCCGGACCCAAGGCCTACTACTCAATGGCTGGTTCAGTTTTAAGTCCGTTATTGAATTTTACATGCGCACAGCAGCTTTAGAGAAGGTGCAAACACTTGCCCGTCCCAACCCCAGCAGCTGGCAACAGCAACACAGGCTTGTGACCCACAGTTTTGCTCCAGCTGCTAGCACTAAGCCCATCTCTTGCTTTACTCACACCAGTCTTTCCGCATGGCTGGATTTTGGGATACATGCCAGTCCTGCCTTGGTGGCTGAGACCCTCAGCTGCTCCTGTGGTTGGCATTGAGACCCCCCACTCTCTCCAGCTGTGTACACTTAGTCCTTGAAGCATGCATATGTGCACTGGATAGAGAGTGAGATTGCACAGAAAGGTAATTTTAAAAAGAATTTAATAAGGACAGGACAGACTGCAGTGACCAGGCACAGGGCTCAGTCAGACAAGTGGACTGACTGATAACAGTTTACACATGCACAGCCCCTCTTAGACCCCTCTTTGTTCTTCCCCCGTCCCCTTCCCCTGCACTTTGTTTCATCAGTTTGCATATTGCACCAACCCTCATCCAGAATATCCAGAACCTCCAGGTATGCCTTCTTAGCAGTTGCAAGGACCAGGTTCACCTTCTTTGAAGTGATGCTTGCAGTTTCCTGATAGCCCATCAGTTAGTGTGACTGGTGAGCTTTGTTTCTTGTTCTTGTCTCCCTTAGTGTTTTTCTGACAGGTCTGTGTCTCCATAGGTTTTATTTTTTCCCTCTCCTTTTTCCTTTTCATCCATTTTGACAAAGTCCTCGATCAGATAATTGTACCGGTACAAACATTCTCATGTCCTTATCCATTAGTGTAACTGGCCAGGTTTGTTTCTTGTTACTGCCTCCACTATTGCTTGTCAGTCAGGTTTGTACCTCTCTGGTTTGCTTAACATCCTTTTTGACAAGGTCCTTTATAAGATAATCTTACTGAAGCAAACACTGTTATCTTCCACATATCCTCAAAGTATCTGTTTTACAAGAAAGCCGTCAAAGGTTCGATTTCAAGTGATACAGATTTATTAACATTGCTTATTTAACACCTACATGAGTACAGTGCAGAGAGCTTAAAAATTTTTAATAATATATTTTAGCCTGTTCAGAAACACAATACTGAAATAGCAGTAATTCTGCAGTACTGCTACTCCGCTTCTTTTTCAATTCACTGTCTGCAGCTGTGCTTTGGGTCTGGGCTATGTAAAAAGTTGGCATTCATGAGGAAAAAAATTTCATAAAGCTTGGGAACTGCAATTAATTTCTAAGTAAAAAATGTCAACCTATCAAGTTAAAAGAGAACCTTTTCTCATCCCTCATCCCTGAGTCCATGTGTATTTCCTGTGACCTAGAAGCTGAAAATAATTTCCTCCTCCCTAATTTTGTCCCACTATCAAAACCAATTTTGAGTATTTTTGGCTCTTTTTAATTCTTTCTATTATCTCCTGATAATAGTAAGGGCTAAGTAGAAAGGGAAGATCTGATAGTCTGGAACTGGTAGGTTTTGGGCATTTGAAGTACTCATTTTGTCCCAAGAATAACCTGAGCTAGGGCAGCTGTAATCAGTATTTTTGGTATTTGTACCCAGAGTGGTTTCTAGCAGAACCAGTCCCATGAAGATCAGGCAAACTAAAAAGCATAGCTACCGTGGTATCAATGAGGATGTCAGTGTTAGTTTATGGATCTGAGGGTCACATGTGACATTTAGGAGATTTATAAGTTGTGTCACATTAAGCAAGGGCCTCTGCATGTGAACATGGCAGTGACAGAATAAATACACAGTAATAGTATGAAAGAGAACTGACCCTGTCTTGCATACCAACTTTTGTTTAGTAACCAGAGAAAGATAATTGTTGTACTTACCTATGTTTTACTTTGTGGCATCTTTTTTAGGATTGGAGAATTCATGTAGACCAAATGCATCAGCATAAGGATAGAATTGAATCTTCTTTGGAAGAAACTAGGGTATGTCTTGTACGGGCAGAATATTTCACTAATCTGTCAGCATTTTAATTTTCTCTTTTATGTGATATAACTTAAGAACTAACTTGATCTTTTTTCTTCATTTTATTTGTGCTAATGCTGTAAAACTAAAAAGGGAAACATATGATAATGATGATTAGGGACAGTGGGACTGGCAAAATACCGTGTGGGAAACAGTTGTATATGTGAGGATTAATAGGGATATTAGGGTTCATTAACATAAGCGTTACCATAAGTACATCCTGACTACAGAGGGCAAAATAGAATAATACTGTAATACAATCGGAAAATAAGTGCTGATACAAAACAAACAAACCACCACAACAAAATACTATCAAGTACTGTTGTTGATACAGTAACTTGCTGACATTGACATTTGTAATTAATTAAGGGGGGGAGAGTGATGGAAGCAGTAAAGCTTGAAATAATGTGTTTTGGAGGTGGGAAAACCAGAACACAATAGAAATATTTTTTTGTTGGCTAAACACAGCATGTCTGTACTACTTTTCTTTCTCACTTGTAGGCTTCCATATCCTTTCTTAATTATAGCATGATTTTAATAGTCTTTGTGTACGTACTATTAGTACACTGTCAACCCACAGAATGTGATTTTCTAGGGTTACCTTGACAAACTCCATAATGAAATCAGCAGAACATTGGAAAAGATCAATAGCAGGGAAAAGTACATCAACAATCAGTTGGAGCACTTGGTTCAAGAGTACCGTTCAGCACAAGCCTTGCTGAGTGAGGTAATGCACTGATCTTTTGTTGTTGCCTTCTCTAGTATTAACATGCTATTAAGTGACGCTGAAGGCAAAGAAGACTTGGAGGAGTTATCTGTGATTTCTGCTGTTGGATATAAAGCAGGGGAAATGGTGATCGGCTCTCAAATTATATAGTTTTTAAGCTAAACTAGCAATTTTTATTCAACTATTCTACAAGGGAGAGTAAACAGTTTTTATACTGAACACTATGTAAATCTGTTGCCAATCTTGAGCAGCTATTAAATTGCTAGTTGTTCTTTCCCTGTGAAGTTCACACATCTGTGATGAGTGGAAAAACTACTGTCTCAGTCCAGCACTCATCTCTCATATTGATTACTCGTGCTAATGTGCACAAAGCATTCTGATTACTTCTTTGGTTCTTTTAGTTTTTATGCCAATAGAGTGCTGTTTGAGAAGCTTTTTGATCCCCTTGTTGGGAGGCCTGTATAAGCTGCCATTTGGCTAGCCCTCCTATTTGTGGACATGATGTTAAAGTAAGGCTAAAAGGATTTGATCTCTGTGCTTTCTGTTTAACTTACTGTTAAACTTTAAGAAACTTCAAGATAATAATTTACTGTTGACAAAAAAGTATTCTGGGTTTTAGGATTCAATTCCGTCTGCATTCTGGCAAATTTTCTTTTTGTTTATTTCTTCGTGTAAATGATTAGAAAACATACTTCTTATAGTGTATGTATTAGTGCTATTACAGTTTTTAAAGCTGCTTTAAATTTTTGAATGATAGTCACTACAGGGGCTGATGTTTCAACCCTATGCTCATATGTGTAGCACTGTAAATGTCACTGGGACCTGGTGGGAGAGTTTCTGGAATTGGGATGAGTAAGAGCAAGCTTTGGTGTTCTTTCTGAGCTATCTGCATACACCCTTATAGCAGCCTTGCAGTACTTGAAAGAGGCCTACAAGAAAGATGGGGAGGGATTCTTTATCAGGGAGTGCAGTGATAGGACAAAGGGTAATGATTTTAAACGGGAAGAGGGCAGATTTAGACTAGATATTAGGAAGAAATTCTTTACTGTGAGGGTGGTGAGACACTGGCACAGGTTGCCCGGGGAAGTTGTGGATGCCCCCTCCCTGGAAGTGTTCAAGGCCAGGCTGGACAGGGCTTTGAGCAACCTGGTCTGGTGGGAGGTGTCCCTGCCCATGGCAGGGGGGTTGGACTGGATGAGCTTTAAGGTTGCTTTCAACCCAAACCATTCTGGGATTCTTCTTCAGCTTTGTCATTACAGCAAAACACGTTTCTTTCCAGGCTCAAGAGAAGTACCAGGAGGGAAGTGGAGGAGTAACTGAAAGGATTAGAGTACTTTCTGAGGTAAAACATGTCTTCACATAATTTCTTTTGCTTATTTTAAAACAGTCTTCAGAGAGTTGGCATTTAGTGTTTGCAGTTTTGCTCTCATGTTAAAGATTAATCTGTTTGTTTAGTGGAGGCGACCTAGTCAAGTCCCTAAGTTTTAAACCCAGGTTGCCATTGATTTTTAACTTGTGAACTGGGACAAACTATTGTGAGCTCTTAATTTTCCCAGTTGGTAAAAGAGGGTAAATGTTCTGTATTTTATAACCTGTGTCCTCGAATTTATTGAGGATTAATCAAGCTATGTCCATAAATTATTTGGAAGAAGAAAAGCTTCACTATTTATTTTTAGTTAAAATTAACAATTGGAAATTTACATCTTCCAAGAACTTGAAAGCAATATTTGACTAAATATTGACTTTTCCTTACAAGTCAAATTATCTTAGTACCTAAAACTGTTTTTCCATTGTTTGTTTTCCTTTTTTTTTTTTAAATCACTGGCAAATTTGAAGAAAAATACCTAGACTCCAAACTGCCTCAACTTGTTGAGTGTCTTATGGCATTCCTTTAGAATTGCTGCCTGATTTCCAAATATCTCAGCCCTTTGTCCAATTAAGAAATTATTTTTTTAAATGGCACTGTTGTTTGAGTTTGAAAACCTCCTTTATTTATTAGAAGATAAAGTGTTCAGAATAGTCACATAAAATAGATCACACCTTAAGGCAAGGGGTTGGAACTAGATGATTGTTAAGGCCCCTTCCAACCTAAACCATTCTATGATTCTATGCTAAGAATGTGCTGGAAATTATAAAAGAAATTTGAGATATTTTAGAATAGAATAAATAGTTCAGTAGCAAGGGATCTAGAGTGATCATCGAGTCCAACTGCAGTAGGCAAAAGATTTCTGAGTGTATGGATTCTGCAGAATTAGAATTTCTTTGTATTCCACTCTCAAGGAAGTAAGTTTGAAAAAGAGAGTACTTTACAACGACTTCAGATTTATCATGTGTTTGTGCTTTGGAATTTATTGACTGATCAGTAACGATGAATATGTTACTAGCTGGCAGCCTTAGAACTATGTAGAGGCAGTGGTGCATATCTGAGATAAACTAGACACATTGAACATTACTACTGCAATCAAATCTCAGCCCACTCGGCGCTACCAGTACCACTGTAGGTGTGCAATACCAATGAAGTGATGCTGCTTTTTTGTCACTGAAAGGGCTTATTGAAGCCTTAGATGAAAGGCCATTTCTATATTATAGACAAAAATACTGAATACTACCTAGACGACACCTTAGAATCATATCTTTGCTGCTGCTTCATTGTCTGCAAAGGCAAACTGGTCGATAAGAAGTCAGTGCTGAAATGCGCTTTTATTCTTCATACATGCATTTTACGTGCCTGTTCCAGTGCCAGCAGGCTTGACTGCTGCACCTTCTTTTGCTGCAGCGCTGTTTCTCGGGTTTCCACTGTAACCTGCTGAAGTCCTGATGCTTCCAGAAGGGCAGCTGGCATGGTCATTTGGCGAATCTTGATCTGCGGGGATATGGGTTCTTATCTTCCATCCAGCATCTTACTGAAACAACACTGTTTTTATCTGTTTGGGGTGTGCAGCTTCTTGATTCCACCATTTTGGTGTTTGGCCAACTTGTTACTCTTTTTGTAGTAATTCTTACAACATTAATTTAGTTAAATTAAAATTTTCTTAATGTTTGAAAAAAAAATGTTCCTCTGTGTACAACAACTAAGATTAGTTCATTTTTTTTTAACTAACACAGTTATTCAGCAGAGACATTTTTTTGTTTTCTTTTTTTAACTTGACATTGATCTGGTTTAATGAAGAAAAAATATCTGTTTTAAGATTACAGAAGTATTAGAGAAAGTAAAGCAGGAAACAGAAGAGAAAGGAAGCAGTATGACTGATGGTGGTAAGTATGTTTTTGCCTCAAACCAAACATCCATTTTCTCAGTGACAGGCAAATAATTTGGCCTTTATTAAAGAAAAATATAACAAGACCAGAATGAGTGACTAGTCTAAAAATATCAATATTAGAATTTTAAGATGTCTAAGAAAATCAGGAGTCTTAACCTCTTTGAAAAGGTTATGTAAGTCTGCAGAAGGTGGTGATTCCAGGATTTCCTCCTTTGGTAAAGTATTTGTAAAAATTTTTTCAAAAAAAGGGGGGCAGTGGAGAGGAGGATTTGTCTCTGCTTTGAAGAGTTATCAGCTCACTGGAAGAAATTCACACATTACAGGTTCAAGCCCTTTTACTCTGAAATAGTTACTGGCAGTAGCCGATTCCCTGACAAAGGCTGCCTGGAGTCAGTGAGAAAATTTATTTTGGTGTTTTGATGTTTGGGCCTTTTTTAAATATTTAAAACTACATACCTATTTGAATTAGTTTGTCTCAGACTCAGGGGTTTTGCTGATAAATGCATTCTGTTGCAAACGTATAAGAAGTACAAATGCAGAAATAAATGGATGCATGTACAGTAGGGCTAAATATGCAAGCTGTTTCCATATTTAACTGTAACCGTTACAGCTAATTTACTTAACTTAGTAGTTGTAAGTGTTATTGTTTAATGAAATTTTGTGCACCTTTGCTTCACTGTGAAGGAGCTACTCACCTGCCTCATACCTTTTTTGTATTATGACATGGCCAAGGGTCAGAATAAAAACTAGAGCCCAAAATTATAAGCAGCAATATGATGTAGTAGCAGCATCCCTAGGGTGGTATTAGTGGGAAGTCTGGACCCTCTATCTCTCTGTACTGTTGTCTTTGCTCTTTTTTCGTGGTTTTTCTGTGATTTTGCTGCTTTTGCCACTTCGGGAAGGGTCTCTCGGCGAGATTGTCAGCTCTGGACCCCCTTACCTCAGTGACTGCCAAGAGACCTGATCACTCTCCACAACTACCTGGAAGGAGGTTTTAGTGAGGTGGAGATTGGTCTCTTCTCCCTGGTAGCTCATGATAGGACAAGGAGAAATAGCCTCAAGTTGCAGCAGGGGAGGGTTAGGTTGGATATTAGGGGGAATTTCATTACTGAAAGGGTCATCAAGCACTGAACAGGCTGCCCAGGGAGGCGGTTGGGTCACCATCCCTGGAGGTGATTGAAAGATGAGTAGATGTCGTGCTTAGGGACATGGTCTAGTGGTGGACTTAGGGCTGGTTTGGTGGTTGGACTCTGATCTTAAAGGTGTTTTCCAGCGAAAACCATTCTGTGATTCTATG